ATTATGAATTTACAGCGGATTTGGGGATGGATTCACACAAATATCCCGATTTTTTAATTTATTTAGAGCCTTATTATGAATTTAAAGCGGTTTTGGGGGTGGATTCACACAAATATCCCATTTTTTTTTAATTTTTAAGATTTTTTTAGAGCCTTATTATGAATTTACAGCGGATTTGGGGGTGGATTCACACAAATATCCCGATTTTTTAATTTATTTAGAGCGTTATTATGAATTTAAAGAGGGTTTGGGGGCGGAGGGAGGGGTTTAAATCTGAATTTTCCCTCTGGAAAAAGCAGGTGTGGGTTCGTTCCCACCTCTCCTTCCCCGCCTTTATCAAACTCAGAGGCGCCGCTCGCGTTTTTTTATTTATTAATTAAAAAGTTCCGCCCTGAAGAAAATCCCTCGGAGCCTCCAGCGCTCGGTTTTGGGAGAAATCCCCCAAAAAATAAAAATGAAAATAAGAATGAAAATGAAAATAAAAATAAAAATGAAAATAATGAAAATAATGAAAATGAAAATGGGAATGAAAATGAGAATGAGAATGAAAATGAAAATGAAAATGAAAATGAAAATGAAAATGAAAATGAGAATGAGAATGAAAATGAAAATGAAAATGAGAATTAAAATGAGAATAAAAATGAGAATGAAAAGGAGAATAAAAATGAGAATGAAAATGAGACTGAAAATGAAAATAAAAATGAAAATAAAAATAAAAATAAAAAAATAAAAATAAAAATGAAAATAAAAATAAAAATAAAAATAAAAAAAAATAAAATAAAAAATAAAAAATAAAAAAAATAAAAAATAAAAAAAATAAAAATAAAAATAAAAATAAAAATATGAAAACCAATCCCAAAGCTTTTCCGCTTCTCAGAGAAAAAAAGAGAATTAAATAAAAATTAAAAAAAAATGGGGAAAAACAGCTCGGGGCGGGCTGAAAATGAGGGGAAAAAAAAGGGAAAAAAAAATAAATAAAAGGTCTAAAAATTGGGGGTGAAGCGCGGGTCAGCGCGGCTCTGGGCGGACACGCCTCGCTGTTTAACAAAGACTGACAAACTATGAGATTAATACCAAAACTTGCGGGTTTCCCACCCCAAAATGCTCAGAAGGGCCTCCCGGAGCTGCCGGCAGCGGTTCCGCTCCCCTCCGGGGATAACGGGGGGGGTCTGGAGGGGGAGGGGGAAAGAGGAAGATGAAAATTAAAAATTTAAAATTAAAAATTAATTTTTTTTTTTTAAAAAAAAAAATTAATTTTAGAATGTAATAATTTAAAATTAAAATTTTAAAAAAATAATATTAATAATAATTATTATAATAATAAATAGCCACCAGCAGCCAAAAAAAAATTTAAAAAAAATCAAAAATAGGAGGGGAAAACAGAAGGAAAAAATAGAGAGAGAGTGAGGATAATGAAGGTTTATTTCTTATTTTTAAAACAGAATTAATCTGTTTAATCTGTTCATCTCCGCTGCAAAAAGCGGAGATGAAGAGGGGAGATTCGGGATTTATTTATTTTTTAGGGGGGGTTTTTATTTTTGGGTTTTTTTTAGGATTCCGCCTCCAAAACCTCTCCGAGTTTTGAGGGAGAGCCTTAAAATTTTTTTTTTTTAAAAAAAAAATAGAATTCCCTGGGGGAATTTCTGGGAGGAAAAGGAAGCTCGTCGTGCCAAGGTAGGAACCGCTGCGGGACCCCAAAACCTCTTTTTTTTTGGGGTGGGGGGCGCTGGGAGACCCCCCCAAAACCGAGAAAAATTTGGGGCTCCCCCGGTTTTAAAACAACCCCAAAAAAAATTCCAAATTCGGGGGTGTCCCACCTCTACCTTGTGGTTTGGAAATGGGGGGAAAAAATGGGAAATAAACCCAAAAAAACCCAAAAACACCCAAAATTTCGCTGTTTGGAAGTTCCGAGGGATTCCGGGATTGGAAATTTGGGATGGAAAAGGGAGAATTTTTGGAGTTGTGGTGGTGAGAGGGGGGAAAAAAAAGGAGTTTTGGGTGATGCTAGGGATGCTGCTCGGCAAAACCCGGCGTGGAGAGGAAAAATAATCGGATTTTCTCCCTTATTTTTAATTTTTAAAGAGGCGTGGGAAGGGGTTAAAAAATCGGGAATTAAGGCCTGGATGTTTCTCGTGCTGGGGTGGGAGAAAACGGAATAAAATAAATCACTGAGGAGAAAAGGAGGAATAAAATTGAAGAGAGAGAGGGGAAAGAGGGATAAAACAATCAAAAAAAAAAAAAAAGAAATAAAAAATCCAAGGAGCTCTGATGGGATTGGTTCTGTTATTTTATGGAATTTCCACGTTGGAGGAGCAAGATGAGGTTTGGCTCCTCATTTTTATGGCAGGTTTTAGAGGAAAAAGGTGAATTCTGAGCGCTGCTGGCGGCCGGAGGTGGGAAATTCTGCTCGGTGCCAAAAAGATTTCGCTGCTTTTGCTGGAAATTTATTTTAAATTTATTATTATTATTATTATTTTTAATTTATTATTTTTATTTTCGGGTTTTTATTTTAAATTGCGCCTGTGGGGTTTTTTTTTATCTGTTTTTGGTTTATTTTCTTAAAGCGTTGCTTGGTTATTCTGGGTTTATCTGGGAGCTTTTAGCAGGAAAATCGATTTATTCACCTTAAAAAATACCTGAAAAATTCCGCGGAGGGGAGAACGGGGAGAATTCGAGGGGTTTTATTCTCTTATTTTATTTATTATTTTAATTTAAATGGGAAGGGAAATGCGGGAGTGGGTGGAATCTGCTGATTATACGGACAGGAATTTTAATGCGAGGAGGGGGGAAAAAAAAAAATCAGCTTTTCCCTGATGCCCTCTCTGCTGCGGCATTTAAACGCAATTAATTCGGGAGATACTTGACCTGAAAATGTTCCGCCTTTTGAAATACAGAAAAAAAAAAAAGAGAGAGAGAGAGAGAGAGGGGAAAAAAAAATAAAAAAAAAAAAGAAAAGAAGCGAGGTCGCTGCTCTACTTTTAATCTCTTGGGCAAGTGTAATTTTAAACGAAATCTCAACATGATGCTACCCTCATTAGTTCCGAATGAAGGTTCATTACCTAGACAGTATGAATATTTTATTGCTTTATATCCCTTTTTATTTTTTTCTCTTTTTTTTTTTTTTTTTCGGAAATGAAACGCCTTTGATCTTTTTCTCGGGTTGTAAAAAAGAATTGCCTGTCATTAAAAAAAAAACCTGTCGTCCCATCTGCCTTTACATTCTGGATTTCTTTTCATCTGTTTCTTTCTTTTCTTTTTATTTTTTCCCTTTTATTTCTTTTCCCTTTTTTACCCTTTTTCTTTTTCCCTTTTTTTCCCCTTTTTTCCTCCTTTTTTCTCCCTTTTTTCCCCTTTTTTCCCCTTTTTTCCCCTTTTTTTCCCTTTTTTCCCCTTTTTTCTCCTTTTTTCCCCCTTTTTCCTCTTTTCCCCCCCTTTTTTCTTTTTCCCTTTTTCCTTTTTCCCCCTTTCCCCCCTTTTTTCCCCTTTTTTTTTCCTTTTTTCCCCTTTTTATTTTTTCCCTTTTTTTTCCCTTTTCCCCTTTTTCCTTCTTTTTTCTTTCCCCTTTTTTTTCCCTTTCCCCCTCATTTTTTCCCCCAATTTTTTTTTTATCCTTTCCCCACACACTCGCGGCTAAACCCAAACCTGGGGTGACCTCCAAGAACGAAACCAGGATGAAATCTTTGCTCTGCCCACCAGAAAATCGTGACCAGCCTTTCAGGGCGGGGTGGGGACGGAGCTCGGGGGATTTCTCTTTTAAAAGGCGGAATTTTGGCTTCGCCTCTCCTCGCGCGCCCGCACCTCCTCCCTCACCCCTAGAACCGATATTTTTGGCGTTTTTAACCCCAAATTAAAATCCAAAGCGCGGAGAGAAAGGTGGGGAAAATCTCGATTTTCCCCTCCAGCATCGCTGCTTTAATCCATCCCCTTCCCTCCTCCCAAGCGAATATTCCAATATTTCCCATCGGAAATCCCCCCCCAGATTTCCCAAAACCCCAAAAGTTTGCCCCAGAAGAGAATTGTGGCGGTAGGAGAAGATGTGAGACCGAGGAGCATCTGTCTTCTATATGTACCCTGTAGATCCGAATTTGTGTAAAGGAAGTTGGGTCACAAATTCGTATCTAGGGGAATATGTAGTTGACACAAACACTACAAACCCAGAAGCCATAAATCCCCAAAAAAAACCCAAAAAAAACCCCCAAAAATAATAATAAAAAATTAAAATTAAAGGGTTTAAGCAGAAAACCGCGTTAGGGATTCAAAGGAATCCTTTGGGTTTGACCTCAGCTCAACTCCTGAGATAAAAGTTTATCATCGCTCCGAGATAAAGCTGCCAAGGCGGGGTTTGGGGAGGGGGGAGTCGCGATATCGCCGCGATTTTCGGAGCGGGGACCGCAAATTTTTTTTCATTTGTGAAGTCTCGACACGGATTAAAACAAAAACAACCCCCCCAAAAAAATATTAATATATATTATTATTATTAATTATTATTATTGCTACGAGCGCTTTCCTCCCCGCGGAGAGTTTGGGGTCTGGCTCGGGGAATTGGGGGTGGCTTTTCAAAAGCTGCCGGGTCGCGGTGGCTTTTAAAGCGTCTTTATTTGGAGAGGGGCTCGGAGAGAAAATGCATTAAGACTCGGCTTAATTGGCTTTTGTAATTGCTCATCAAGTGCCGGACTTAGGGCTCGGAGGACCGGGGCTCCTTTTCCCGGCGTGGGAAAAAGCGCTCCGGGCCGGCCCGAAATGGGATTTTAGGAGCTGGGGTACCCCGAATTAGCTGATGAATTTCTTATCGATCCCCGAGCAGCCCAATCCATCTCTGCCAGCTCCTCCCGCATCACCCCCAGCCCCCTCTCGGGGGGGGTCGCGGCTCAGCTGCGCTGGATGGGGCGGGGGGCTGGAAGCCCCCGAGATCCCCCCACCACCGCCGCCACCCCCTTGGAGAAAAAAACCACCATTTTTTACCTCAAATCCTAATTATTCTGGGTTTTTNCCCCCGACAAGAAATTAATGGCCATGAGCTCATTTTTGATCAACTCCAACTATGTGGACCCCAAGTTCCCACCCTGCGAGGAATATTCCCACAGCGATTACCTCCCCAACCACTCGCCGGAATATTACCAGAGGCACCGCCACGACTCTTTCCACCACGAATCCAACTCGTACGAGCCTCGATCCTCGTGCAAGGAGCAGATTTACTGTCCCGGCTCCGGGATGTCCCCGCGGGGTCACATCCACGGCGGGCCGGGCCAGCGGAGCCGCCTCCCGGAGCCGCAGCGGGGCCGCAGCCCCAGCTCGCCCCCATCCTGCAGCCAAAATCCGGGAGAGCCCCGAGAGGAGCCCGTGGTTTACCCCTGGATGAAAAAAGTGCACGTGAGCACGGGTAAGTGGAGGGGGAAAGAGAAGAAAAAAAAAAAAAAAGGAGTCTCGGGGCTTTATGGTTTAAGTAGCACCTCAAAGTCTTGTAGAAATCTTATTGCGGCGGTTGTAAAATAACCATTCCGGGGGGAGATTTACGAGCGCCTGTTTGCGGAGCGCTATAATTACATCCTCCATAAATTTTTATTGCTCTGCTTGGCCATGTGCCTTTGAAGTCTCTGTTACCATCCTCCTCCAATTTCTTGCAGGCTACTTTTCTTTTTTTTTTTATTATTTTATTTTATTTTTTTTCTTTTATTTTTTTCTCCTTCCCCCTCCCTTTTTTTTTATTTTTTTTTTATTATTATTATTTTTATGGCCGTCGAATCTTCATAAGTGAAGTTTTATGTTTTGGTAATTTGTATTTAAGTGGCGGGTTGAGTAAACTTTTACTATTTTCCCCTCCCCTGCCCTCTTTTTTTTTTTATTTATTTCTTTTTTTTCCCCTCCCTTTTTCTTTTTATTCCCTTTTTTTTTTCCCCTCTTTTCCCCCCTCTTTTTTTCCCCTCTTTTTTTTCCCCTCTTTTTTTCCCCTCTTTTTTTTCCCCTCTTTTTTCCCCCTCTTTTTTTCCCCTCTTTTTTTTCCCCTCTTTTTTCCCCCTTTTTTTTTCCCTCTCTTTTTTCCCCTCTTTTTTTCCCTCTTTTTTCCCCCCTTTTTTTCCCCTCTTTTTTTTTCCCCTCTTTTTTTTTCCCCTCTTTTTTTCCCCTCTTTTTTCCCCTCTTTTTTTCCCCTCTTTTTTCCCCTCTTTTTTTCCCCTTTTTTTCCCCCCTCTTTTTTCCCCTCTTTTTTTCCCCTCTTTTTCCCCCCCTTTTTTTCCCCTCTTTTTTTCCCCTCTTTTTTCCCTCTTTTTTCCCCCTTTTTTTTCCCTCTCTTTTTTCCCCCTCTCTCTTATTTTTCCCTCTCTTTTTTCTTTTTCCCCTCCCCTCTTTTTTGTTTTTACTTTTTAAGAAAACGGAAATATTTAATAAACACCACCCCCCTCTCTCGCCGCTTTCCCAGCGCGCACGGAGTGGGAAGGGAGGGGGGGGAAGAACTTTTGGGGATAAATCCGCGATGTTCTGGCTCAGCTGCCTCTCCATAAATGTGAATTTCCACACTCAAAACGTGGCCGGGGGGACTTTAGGAAAACCTTGGGAAGGGAATCCACGCCAAGCCGTGAGGATGGAGGAGGAGATTTGCACATCGGGATATTTTTAGAAGGTTTGCTTTGTATTTATTTTTAATTTTAATTTATTTTTAATTTTTTTTTTTTCCGGAAAAAAAAGCAAATCTCCCCTTTCCAGAGAACGCGAGACGCTTTTATTTTAAATTTTTTTTGTAATTTTTTTAAGGGGGGGAAGAACCCACTGAAGGAACATCTCGGTAACTCTGCTGCTTTTTCTTTTTCCTCCTTTTTTTTTATTTATTGTCCCCTTGGTTTTTCCCTTTTTTGTGCGTGTGCTCCTCTCTTTTTTCTTCTTTTATTTTTGTGTTTTCCCCTCCTTCTTTATTTTTATTGCGTGTGTGCGGTTTTCCCTCGTCCCTTTTCCCTTTTTTGTGGGTGTTTTCACATCTTTTTCCCATTTTTTTGTACTTTCACATCTTTTTCCCATTTTTTTCTGTGTTTTCAATCTTTTCTTCCCCTTTTTTAAAATTTCCTTTTGGTTTGTGTTTTCGCATCTCCCCCCCCCTCCACCCCCCACTTCTTTTATTCTTTTCTTTTTTCTGTTTTTTCACATCTTCCCCATTTTCTTTTATTATTTCTTTAATATTTCCCCATCTCCCCCTCTTCTTTTTTAATTTTTTAATTTATTTTTAATATCTTCCCATCCCCCTTCTTTTATTTTTTTAATTTTTTAAATATTTCCACGTCTCCCCTTTTTTAAAATTTTCTTAATTTTGTTTAATATTTCCCCATCTCCCCCTTTTTTAATTTTTAATTTTTTTTAACATTTCCCCATCTCCCCCTTTTCTTTAATTTTTATTTTTTTTAAATATTTCCCCATCTCCCCTTTCTTTTAATTTTTAATTTTTTTTAAAACATTTCCCTATCTCTCTTTTTTTAATTTTTAATTTTTTTTTAACATCTCCCTATCTCCCTTTTTCTAATTTTTAATTTTTTTTAACATTTCCTCATCCCCCTTTTTTTTAATTTTTATTTTTTTAAATATTCCCCCACCCCCCCTTTTTTTTT